GAAATATAAATAAACAAAAAAAGTTTTCACCTGAAAACAGAATTATTATTATTGTTTTTGTGCACGATTTCAGTGACGATGATACTTCAGAAGCAGTGCAGGAACGAAACAACTACGATTTATCTTTTTTGCGATTTTCTCCAAAACGAAACAAAAACGAGCAGATCTCTACAGGATTTTTTTTTCTTAGTTAATCAATCTTCTACACGCTCCCGAAGTTTAGACATTTAAATTCATGTATATAAATTAATGTAATAATTTATATATGTATGTAAATACATGTATTTATATGTACGCATATATAAATGAAAGAAAATTTCATTTTTCTTCCCATTGATTTAACCCGGCGTAAATGAGGTGGATAATTGTTACACCGACTACGAGGTGGGTATCATATATTATATTTATTCAAAGATTTTGCTTACAATAATACTATATAATGATTTGTTATTATATTATATTACTTTCTCCTGGATATCCTAAACGTATCAACATAATAAAATAACGATTATTTGTGTTTGAAATTATTTATTTTTGCTTAAATGTTAGGCTATAATTATTTCGTAAAAAAAGATGCAAACACCGCACCCTTCCCTCCAGCTACTAAGAGAGTGGAGTTCCACGAAACACAATAACAAACAAAAATATTTGTTTTAAAAATATATAATAGTAATAAGGCTCAACAAATTTAAAAATTCGAAAGGAAATAGGGCTATGAGCCAAAGATCAAGGTAATCATTGTGAGTTAAATTATTAGTATAAACATATCATAATAATAAAAAATACTTTAATGTCTGCTATAAACAATGAGTGACAAATTAAAGACAAATAAAGAACAGACGTTTCGATTCCTTATCAATGTTGAAATAAAATTAAATTAAATGTTTTAAAAATATCTGGGTATGAGATACCCGACCTCATTCACGCCGGATTACAAAAATATTGGTTTAAAAATTCCACTTTTAGATTTGAAGTCTAAAAGAATTTTTATGAATCAGAAAAGTATTAAGAAAAATAATCAAATTTTTGTAGCTTATACAGTATGCGCCAAAAAATGCTTTAATCACTATTATGTTTGCTGAGTATGACACAGTAACGCAGTGATGCAATTAAAGGAAATCATATCGAATAAATATTTGGTAGGACAAAATATTTGTGTTATAATCAAATTTGCTCCCGTCCACTCACTTTATTTAACTAAACCGACAACTGAAGTGTAAGTTGTGAGAGTCGCATTTTTTCTTTTTATATATTGCATATTGTATTTATAAGATAACAATCTTGTAATCGCTGTACTATTTGAATAGTGGGGACAATAGGTATATATTCAGTCGGAATCGTCTTCGTGACTCATAGTCGTAATGCTAACATGCAGTGCACATAATATACTTACATTTTAAAACATTTATTCTATCAACATATTTCGCGTAATGACGATTCTACAACTGCCACTTTTCACGCGAGTTTCTTGTATCCTGAATCAGTGCATTAAAGAATGCATTGTCAATGTATCGCCAAAAAATTATTGGAGAAAATTTAATAAACATCGATACTATGCAACTACAGTTAACTTAAAAGGCGATGCGCAGAATATAGTGAACAGTAAACTACCTGACATAAGTGGCTTTGAGAATATCCATGTGCACGATTTCATCTGGGAAAAAGTCGGAAGATGGTCAAACCATACTGCCCTGGTACGTGCAATGCAGATAAAATAATATAAAATTATAAAGAATATATTTTATTTACATTTTTCGTAATATCATGGACGTAATGATCATGTAATAATTTCTTTCTATAAATATTGGTGAATGAAAAAAATGATAATTATTTCAATATTATTGCAATGTCATCTATTTTAATAATATATATACATATTGATCCTATATAAATATAGGATAATAAATTATTGTAACTTTTTGCAAAATGCGGCAGACTACGTAAGTGCGCAGCAAAAATAACTTTTTAAAAATAAATATATTGTATTATCTACTATTTATATATATATATGTATAAGTTATCACTAGATTTACTACACGTTTGACGTAGTTATGCAAATATTTTGAAGGACTTTTAGAGGACTTTGTCAACGATTGTGTCTCAGATACATCCTTAAGTAGTTTCTTCATCATCATAATTGCTGTTCGACTCACTTCACATGAGATTAATAATAGTACTTTAATAGCACGAAACTGGTTATTCTATATCGGATAATTTATTAACTTATATTTTTATTCGGATAATTTATGTTTATTTAATGATATAATAATACTTTATTAAATAATAATTTATTAATAATACTTTATTAAATGTTCATTCATAATTTTGTCGACTCTTAGATTCATAAACATCCTACATAAGTGGTTAAATAAAATTTTTTAAATCAATTAACTTTTTAATTTCAGGTGTGCTTAAATACTGGTAGATCATATACATACGGTCAGTTGAGAAAAACATGCGGCAAACTAGCAACGAGTTTAAGAAAAAGCAAGCTCTTACCGGGAGATACTATTGCTATCATTTTACCAAATATTCCAGAATTCGTCATCATCGCACTAGCAGCAAATGAAGCCGGTTTACGCGTAAGATAAAATTATTACATTTAGAAATAATACATACGTACTATGCAGCATGTCTAGTAAATTGTAATAAATGTCTAGTGAATTGTAATAAACTGTCAACTTTATCAAATAGGAAACAGGAGACATAGTGGTTCTATTTAAAATGCAACTTCATGTATCTACTATATTTGCTGAAAAAAGAACTGCAGTTATATAATTTAAGAGATGATGGAGCAATTTAGATAATTTTATTTAATGACACACACACACACAGTTTAACAAAAAATTTTTTAAACTAATAGAAATGATAAAAATTAACATTAAAAAAAATATAGTACAACCTAATAAGATATTCATTTTTTAGAAGTATTTGTCGTTACATAAGCTTGTTGTAATAGTCATTTAAATTTTTTCTTTTTAAGACAACTCTGATAAATCCTATATTTACAACATACGAGATAAAAAGGCAAATAGAGAACGCAGACACTCGAGCTATTTTCACAATTCCGACCAAATATATTGATATTAAAGCAAGTATTGAGAAAAATTCGAAGATAAAATTACCAATCATCATCGTAAACGATGGAACTAACGCTAGCTCAATCTCAGGGACGATTCAATTAGATGATCTTATGCGTGATGACATCGAAGATTTTTCAATTAGTCAAAAAATTGGAATAAGTTGCAAAGATACGGTATTCTTGCCTTATTCCAGTGGCACGGTTGGTTTGCCGAAAGGCGTTGAGTCGTCTCATAGGTGCGCAAATTGATTACATATTAAATATTTGTATATTGAGAAAAATGTAATTCATATGAATAAGTCTCCATACATTGTGAAAATTCAATGTACTGTTATATCAATATAAAATAATAAAAAATAAACAGAGAATACGATTTCGCAGGAACATTGTTGCAAATCTTCTTCAAGGTATGGATCCAACATTCTTCCCAGGAATAGAAGCGAGTGAACACCATCAGGAAATTGTACCGCTAATATTACCAATATATCACTATTATGGGTTAATAATTGTCCTATATTCTTACTTGCGGTATGTTAACATATCTATTAACTCGTTTGCGTAACTATGACATGTGAATGCTCAAATATGTCTTTTGATTTCATATTTTCTTTACGTATAAGGCCGACATTTCATGTATCGTACAAGATCAATTCTCGGATCTCTCTGTCCTGCAGTCAATCATTACGCTTAAAAAGTTTATCGTACGACACATGAAATATTAAGCTAATACTTGAAACATTGAGATTCATCGTCATTTCATCAATTATAGAATAGGTGCTAAATTGGTGTGTCTACCACAATTCTCCGCGGAAGCATTTATAAAACTGCTTGAAAATCATCGGTGCACAGTATTGCATATAGTACCACCTATCATTCAGATGATGATAAACAACGAGCGAATTACACCCCGTCATATTGAATCTGTAAGATTAACATTAACAGGAGCTGCACCGCTCGGAGAAAAACTTATCGCAAACTTTCGAAGTCGTTTCACTACTGGCATGAATTTTATCCAAGGGTAAGAGATTACTGTTACAAATACGTCTATATAATAAGAAAAACAATTTTCGTTTACAGATACGGCGCAACGGAGCTATCCCCGCTTGCTACAATCACTCATCCAAATATGTCGACGGCATCCTGCGGTTATTTGGTTCCAAATACACAAATGAGGATTGTAAGCACGCAAGATGATACTCTCGGCAGAAATTTAGGTCCGCATGAAATAGGAGAAATATATATACGAGGTCCACAAGTAATGAAAGGGTATTACAAAAATCCTAAGGCCACAGCAGATACTATGGATGGAGATTGGTACAAGACTGGTGATTTAGGGCATTATACCGAAGATGGTAAGCAAGATGTAATCAGAAACTTTGAAAAAATAAGACTATGACAATTATTTAATAATCGTTGAAATGAGATAATTATAAATTATTATATGTTGTAAAATACAGGCATATTGTATATACAAGGACGATCGAAGGAATTGATAAAAGTAAAAGGACATCAAGTTGCACCCACCGAACTTGAAGAAGTAATTCGTCATTACGATAATATAAAAGACATCGCCGTCATTGGTGTGGCACACGAAGATTATGGCGAGATTCCAAAAGCTTTTGTAGTTCTTAAATCGGGAGTCAAAATTAATGAGAACGAACTCAAAGAATTTGTCGCTAAACGTGTAGCCAAGTACAAACAATTAGGATATGTACAAGTTATAGAAAGTATTCCGAAATCTGCATCTGGAAAAATTCTTCGAAGAGAACTTGAAAATCTATAACATATTCTTTAAATATCGAGTTTCATATTCGAATTGATATCAAGAAATTTACGACTAAATACCGGGTAAACATCGATTTATAAATATATGCATTATATCTGCATTGTGGTTAAAACTATGTTTAATATTAACAAAAATGTTTATTATAACAAAAAGCAACTATCTTTCTATCCGTACAAGATACGGTTGTTTATTTACAGGATAATTTGAAAAAAATTATTCTTTAGATTTGTTGACACCACTTTGAGAGGATTCTTCTTTTTCCAAAAGAGCACTAGTAATTCCAGCTTTCTTCAATTCCTCAATAAGCTCTCCATTTTTATGCATTTCTAAGAGTATGTCACAGCCACCCACAAAATCACCATTTATAAATACTTGGGGTATTGTAGGCCAATTAGAAAAGTCTTTTATACCTAAGTAATTAATATTAGTATTTCAGAATTATATAACATTAGCGATAATTAATAATTTAAGAAGATTAATAATTTACAGAAGATTTACGAAAGTATATAAAATGATATAAATTATATAAAAGAAATTATATAAATTTTTTTATTTTATATAGTATATATTATTTTTTAAATAATATACATCTTTTTTTTAATGTAAAGATAAAAATTTTAATGTAAAGATAAAATTTCTCTTTTTGAAAAACGATTGTTTAATAAACATGGAAACTTGTAATAGCATTTGTAATAAGTATTTGTAACTATATTACCTTGTCTAAGTTCTTCATCCTTGAGAACATCATGAGCATCATAAGTAACGCCGTGCATACGTAATACTTGAACTACCGCATTGCTGAATCCACATCTTGGCTCTTCTGGAATGCCTTTCATAAAGATGACTACTTTATTTTTCTACAAAAAACAATGTTTAAAATAATGATGTTATACACAATATTATATTTATTAACAAAACTAAAGAGCCTGATAATTTTTGGGTATTATTTCATGCTTTTTTTATACCGTCCAAACTGCAAAAAGATTTTATATAGAAATTACATACTTACTCTGTTATTTTTTATACAAAATATATCACAAGCCAAGAAATATTTACGGAATAAATACCAACGTATCTCTATCATATTATATTCACTTACCTTAACAAGATTGCTGATTTCATTAAATTTCGTACTAAAATGTCTGTTGATAAACAAGTGTTTGGCTGCAAAACGAATCATGTTTTGATTTATTGCACTAAAGAACACTTTTACAATTAACTGAGACCTTTCGTTTATAAGAACAAAACGGAGCGTAAAGGTTATGTATTTTGCTACACGCTGTCAGCAGTTTCAATTTTTTACTCGAGACGTAATGAAGTAAGTGGCGCCATCATGCAATATGACGGCAAAGTATGTAGCCGAAATATTTCTTTACCTTTCTCCAAATATTATGAAAAAAACATTTTTATAAAAAAAATACGCGTATTCGATATAAAAAGTATTATATCGGAAAGATCATAAATATATCTTTCGACTTTTTCGCAAGAGAGAGAGAGAGATTTAATTGGAAAAAAATATATATACATTTACCAAAAACACTGTACTAAAAAATGTACTAAATTTTAATAAATATTTGTTTAAATAATACTAACTTAACATTTACTTACAGTAAATAAATATTCATTAAATGATGAAAATCACAGCTGAATTAAATTAATTATTCTTGTACCAAATATATATAAATATATATGTTATTTATTTAGTAAATATTCAGCTAATACTCTACTATTCAAACAAATATATTTATTAAAATTTAATATATTTTTTCAGTCTATAAGAATGAAATATTAAATCGCATTATATTCGTAAGTTTAGTGTTTTATAGAGAAACAATAAAGCCTTTTCAAATATAAAGATCAATATCGATATCGATATATGATAGAACCAACCATTTAAAAAATTAAACGTATTGAGCAAAAAGAAGCAAATTATAACGAGGTCAAACAAAATAAGGATTACATACTACGTAATTAAAATTATTTATCTAAAAATGCTAATTACTAGATACTACTACATACACACAACGTGGATAGTAATTAAATTACTTACTCATTAGTACAACGCTACGGTCTTTGCTAATTTATACTTCCATCACTTTCAAAAAAGTATATAATATTCACTCGTGCGGACACAAACTGTCGATAATGCGACTAATTACACTCAACACGCACGCATTTATTAACGTCGCAAAACGACAACTTGTTATTTCGCGTTGTACACACTCTCGAAACGTATGTATGTATACACATTATACGACTCACTTTCGACGAACGAGTAATATCGGTCATTACCGATATTAGCGAGGGGCATTTCATTCTCGAGTCACAGGTCACAGTGCGAGTCTTAGCGAGTCGGGTGCTTTTAAAAAACGTTAAGTCAACACGAAGTCAACGCGAATCAACGAGCGCAAATAGCAAAATACTGGCTACGTTTACACCGTACGCTTAGTCCGCGGCCTATACAATAGATGTCCTTGTTCATCCTGTAAGTTAAACAAAGACACTCATCGTATAGGTCGCGGACTAAGCGTACGGTGTAAACGTAGCCAGTAGGAATCAGTAGAAGTCAATGAAAATAAGGAGCGAGTCAGCGAGAGTCGAGCAACGATGATTGACTCGAGAGTGAAATGCCCCTCGGATATTAGTCGAGTTGTATATACTATAATATATATATACGCAATTAACGTACGTGACTAAGCCTGAGTTCCGTTATATTCACTGCGAGTAAAAAATCGCGAACCAATCACAGCTAAGCATTTTTTGAAGTGTTACTACGCGTTTTCAAGACGTTCTCAAGAACGACGCGGCACCAACTTCAGTGGACTCCGTAACTGAACTATTTTCAGATTTGTGTGCATCAATCGATAGACGATAGGTCGATAGAGATCGTATTAGATAACTTCAGCGAACACACACACACACACATACATACAAAATTCGGTTGCATTTTTTGGATCAATTGCTTTATTCTGTAACTTAACGACAGTGTCGATTCGTTACAGCGGTCGTTCTGCAGATATTTTATAATACTTTATATGACGGTGAAAAAACTGCGCAACAACACATAACGAATTAACGATATTTGTAATTTTTATTTCATTTTAAGATACATAATCGATCTCTAGAACAGTGACTTGTAGACCGAGATGTTTAAGCGAAGTTAAAGCGGTGTCTACGGTAAGATTTTAAGGCGTAAAATTTAAACTTTAAACATTATACTGTAAAAAATTGATCAATCACATCGAATGTGAGAAAAATAATCGACTATGATTGGTCAATTTCTTAATCTTAAGGATCAAAGCTTAAATTTTACGCTTTAAAATTTCATTGTAAAATGTTTTTAAGCCGATCTAAATGAGACGTAGAATGCGAGTCGCAGGTCGCAAGTTTGTTGCGTCAGCCAATCTCGAAGCGTCACTTTTAAAATTGACGCATCGGATTGGCTGACGCAACAAGCTTGCGATCTGCGACTCGCGTTCTGCGTCATCGCTATTCCCTCGTACTGGCCTTTATGTATGTAGATCGGACTTAGGGCCATGGCACACAAAAAAAACTTAAACAGTAAAACGTAAGCAGTAAGCGAATTGACCAATCACAGTAGAGTCCGTAAGACCATAACATAAGCAATAGCGAATCCAACATGTTGATTTTCTTACTGTTTACGTCTTACTGCCTTAAGTTTTTTGTGTGCCAGAGCCCTTAAAGCATCGTCTACAATGAGCAATAACAGTAATGGTAAGGCTGTAAGACACATCGGGAGTAAGCTGATTTTCCACTAAAATAGGGCATAAAGTAAGTCCGTAAGAATGGTTAAAATGCATTTCCTATGTTCTATTCCCTTGTTTGCTTACGGACTTATTCTATGCCCTATTATACCGGGAAATTAGCTTACTCCCGATGTGTCTTATAGCCTTACCACTACTGCTACTATTCATTGTAGACGACGCTTAAGAGTGCAATCGCGTTCGCGCGTCAGTAAGAGGCTGCGTTCGGAAACATCATCCGGGTGCCCCCATGTATCGTTTTGTCCTTATTTAACATTGGGTGAATAACAAGGATGAAACGACACGCGGGAGCACTCGGGTGATGTTTCCGAACGCAGCCCTGTTTAAAATTAACGATCATGGCGATCATGGAGTCGTTATACGTTTATGAGTGCGCCGTTCGGATCAGGATTGTTTATTCGATCGACTTACGATTAAAACGACTCACAAATGACGGAGATAATACGATCAGCGAACAGAAAAACTTATTTAACTGAAATTAGCTCTTGCGACAGTTACACGATTAGTCTAACCTTGTTGAAATTTAACGCGTCGCGCGTAAGTAATAAATCGGGAGTGTCGCGGGTGTTATTTTATTTCGTTGACCGTGCAGGAGTATCGTAATCGGAAGAATTGTTTTAATGGAGTCGACGGACTGAAGTAATAGAACAACCGACACAGGTATTCGACAATCGACCGGTGAGTACGTTCGATTCATTTCGAGTATGCGATTATCAAATACTCTTTATGTTATATATTTATGTATAATAATACAGATAATCTTGTTTTCTATCATTCTTGAAAAAATTGCGAATAAGAGTAAATCGCCACATCTTATAAATTTGAGAAAATATTGAATTCAAATTATATCGCTAAATTAAATGGCAGTATACAATGTAAATTTAATGTTTTCTATTTACGTACGGTAACATGGGCAAATTTATATATTTTAAATAATTCATTCATGGGTATAAAATAAAAATAAGATTGAAAAATATGATGAAGTACGCAACACGAATAAAAAGTGAAAAATGTTATGACAAAGCGCGCAATCGATGATCATCGCATTGTCCCTCGGTATCATTTTGTTCGAGTACTTGAAATGCTCGTCAGATGTCGTCAGTATGCAGTCCAATTACTTGATGTAAATTTCTGATTTCCGTCACGTCGTCACACGACTATGTATATGTATATTTGCGGATGCAATCGCGCTTTTCGAGAACTTGCTCGCGATATCACGACGGTACATCTAGGTATATCGCGAAATCGGCAAATTAAGCAGAGTCCTACAGACTTACAGAGAAATCGTTCGATCGGACAAGATACTGCGCGTATAAAGCCTTGGCTCATTCCGATATCGAATTTGACCTCCATCAATGACCTAGCTATGTTCAACACACAAAAACACACACACACACACACACACACACACACATACACACGCGCGCGCGCGAAATGCGTCGTTACGACAAACGATTGCATATGAATTGAATAGTATTATATGGCATGCAATACGAGACATATTTTCCCAAACCTTAAAATAAATTATCAGAAAAATACTTGGAATTATTTTTCCTTGGGAACAAATATTCCAAATAACTATAAATAGATGTTGAGAAATTGTTCCAAATTTATATCATATTTTCTTCGATTTGTGCCAAGATCCTAAATAATTTAATATTTGATCAATATTAGATAGTACCACAGTTCAGTTCATGTTAGAAGCTGGTTACATATTAATTCCATTAAACCGATGAGAAATATTTCCTTCTCTCGTCTCTCCTAGATCTCTCGTGAATATCCTTGAATAGAGAAAATTTTATCTTATATATATTTATACTATAGAATAACACACACACACATACACACATTAATAGACAGTCGTTAGAAACGTGTTGAATACTTATTAGAAACCCTGCTCGTAGTTATTAAGAAAATATTTTATCAGTCTTTCCAATAAGCAGGCAGAAATACGTGACGATTTACTGTGAGAATATTTATCTACTTTTTTATCGATGAGATTTCATTTTCTTTCTAACATTAAACAGTTTCCTACAATATTGAGTGTATATGTACATGTATATAAGTATAAGACAGTTACTAAAATACTTGACAGCATGTTAAAAAATAATTGGAAAGAAAGCGGTCAAACTTTTTCATTAAGTTTTTCTTAAACACGTTGGATATTGGATTAACTAAAAAATTCATAAATAAAATTTTTGTAGAAGCGATTCTCTTTGGCTGTTGGTTGTACGTATATATATATATACATACATATACGTGTACATGTATTTAATAGAAAGGTAAACGCCGGATCGATTCGGCGCCGGCAACGTCCGCACGATACTAACTTACGTTTTCCGGAATACATTCCGGCTCGTAAAATTCAGTCGCCAACTGATTTTGGAGGCAGACGGCTTGCGCAGGCTGTTTGGCATCATAAAAATGTCGTGATATATCGTAAAACGCTTCACGCTGCCAGATTGTTGCCGTGCGGCACGTGCTGCCATTTGTTTGCTTATGAC